GAATGAATGAATGAATGAATGGAATTTTCAGCCACGCTATTACTTCGTATCTTCCCATACACCTCAATCTTCTTAATCTAAGGACTTTGGAAGAGTCTGTGCAAGGAATTCTTCCCGGGGAAAAAATCAAAATGGGGTCGCTTCATTTCCTTCCATGTTTCATTCACCTCAAAGGTGGACGCCGCGAAAACATTTTTTAGAGGATATTACATTGCCGCGCGGAGATACGAAATTTCTCTGCGAGTGTTGAAAGTGTTTTCAACACTCGAAGAGAAATAAATTTCGAATCTCCAAGAGGCCATGTAATGTTCTATTTATTATATAAACACCAATGAAATAACAAACCATTTAATTTTCGCCGGGAAAGGCGCGATTTATTTTGTAACCATAGCAACGGTGATCTTTTCGCATGTGAAGATAACAAATTATTTTTACGTGTGAAGAGATCATGTTTTCGCGCGAAAGCTCACCTGGCATTAGATTGGCGTTTATATAATAATGACTTTTAATTAAGTTTTGTTGGGTGCACTAAGGCTTTGTCTTACAGAGTAACATATTCTCTTTCATCATTTGTAGGCAACAAACCGGAAGACTACGGCAAGCAGCGTTTGTGGGGAGCTTTTGGCTGGGGACTGGCCGCCTTCATCGTGGGATCAAGCTTAAGTACAATTGAAGAGATCAGCAACTGCAACAATCCTTTGAGCGTAGACTACTTGCCTTGCTTTTACGCATTTGCCTGTCTCATGGGTGTGGCTCTCTTAATTGGAGCCTTGTTTGAGTTTGACAAGAAAGAATCACTCGAAACGAACATTTGGCAAGGACTTGCAGTGCTCTTTGACTGTCGATACATGTACTTTATCATCACGATCCTTTTCTGCGGAAGTGCATTGGGCTTTATAGAGACATTCCTATTTTGGCATTTGCAAGATTTAGGCGGTACGCAGTTCTTGTTTAGTACAATCACAGCTATACACTGTATTTCTGAAGTGGTAGTTTACTGTTGCTCTGGTATGTTCATCAAATGGCTGGGCCATCATCAAGTTCTATACGTTGGACTTTCTTGTTACATCATTCGATTCTTCGGTTATGCCTTTATAAGTAACAGTTGGGTGGTCCTACCTTTTGAAATCCTTCATGGCTTGTCAACGGCAGCTGTATGGTCAGCGGCTGTCGTCTTTGTAGGACTCATTCCTGAGGCGCCGGCAACCATGCAGGGCATTCTGGGCGGAGTGCACTGGGGTCTTGGAAATGGCGGTGGAGGGGTGGTTGGAGGACTATTAATCACTTATGCCGGGGCAACGAATTCTTTCCTTATATTTGGCATTATCAGTCTTGTGGATTTGAGTTTGTTTATTTCTTTAAACAACATGGAATTTTTCAGCTGTTTTGAATGGTCCAAGGGGATTGGCACACGGACTCAGTATGCTTTACAGGAAGATAAGGCAGCAGAAAACGAGGAATTAGAAACGGATTACGATGACCTTTACTGAACACATTAAGATCATATTACGAACTCACAAAGTGACCAGCTCCCAGTTGGCTTAATAACTCATTTGGTAGAGCACTGCACCGGTATCGCAGAGGTCATGGGTTCGAATCCCGTTCAGGTCTGAATTTTTTGCAGGCTTTAATTTCACAACTGCTTAAGGACGTTCGCGCGAAAATTTTCCAATATTGATTTTTTTCTAAAACTTTACAACTATAAGATGATGAGTTAGGTATGCCAGAAATGTAAAAAAATGGGGGTCACCGACTTCGTTTTGGAGAGACCATACCCGGAAGAACACCCTAAATCTGAACAAATTGGGCTTCGTTAGCGAATATTGAAGGCCACAGTGCCTGTAAGCCCCAAAATATTGCAATTAGATCTTTGAAGTGAAATGTTCTCTTCCAAATATTGTTTAAGTGGACCTATTAAGTGAATTTAGTCAACTGGTGAGGTTCCTTAGAGAACAAGTTCGCACTTAGCGACCATAGTTTCGCGCGCCTTGCAGCCGCAAGATCGCAGGATTCGATGTCTGTGGACAAAAATCTTGGAATTTTTTCAACTTCACACATTGACTTTTTGTTCATTTTTGGGCCATGTGGAGATAATTGTAAATAAAATCTGTTTTTGGAAAGAAAAGTAGGGGTCACAGAACGTCCATGATCATTAAATCCAGGCAAAGCTATGGCAATGGCCATCTGCCCTATCATTATTCATTTTATTACTTAGCACGCGCTCTCCTGCATGACGTGGCGTGTGAATTTGGGTGCGCAGTAGGGATGCGCAGACACAATTAGTGCGAACGTTTTTAAGTTAGGTGTATTACTACGATGATCAATCATGTCTTCATACAAAAGTACACCAATCACTGCAGTTTGAGGGACTAAGCTCATTCTGCCACCAACATCATATATGATTGACGTTGTTCTACATTTTAGTTTTAACACGTGAATGTTGTGATCTTTTACAAAATCTTGTAGCATATTTCTTCAAGAAGTATGTTTTTTTATGACCTTTTCCCTCATCCACTCCGAAGGATACGCTCAATCACTGCTGGGTTATGAACCCACTAGAAGGGAATCAATCTCTCTCTCCTTCGCTCTTCCCAGTTTTAGTCGTCATGTTACGTTAATTCATCATTCCACAGAATTATATATACTGACCCATTACATGTAATCACCAGACTCAAACCTTCTTTGGATTTGCTCTACTTTCTCAGCTCTGCTTTCTCTCTTCTAAACTCGCTTGAATCAGAAGTTTGGTTTGGCTTCATATAAAACCAGGAGCCATAATCGGGGACGGAGACCGTAAGCGCGCGCCATTTCTAGTATTGGGGTTGTCCCCATGATATGGGACAATAATTCTATTTT